TACATTAATAAATAAAATGTAGTCAAAGTAGAACATGTGAATAGTGTAAAAGTCAAAGTGTTGCATTTATTTAAGAACGGAGGTAGTATTTTAAAAAGAATGAATTTTCGTCCCTTACAATAGTGGGCGTTCAACTATATAGAGGGGAGCCTAACTGTCAGCCCCTTAATTACAATAATAAATACAATTTTTTTTAAACCCGATCGGTAAATCACCCATCAGTGAAGCAAATGTCGGGAAACATTTATTTGCCAGATTTTATTAAAATAGATAAAAGGTACAGAAGAAGAGGGTGACTATATCAAAATCTCTCCATAAAAGGCATTCCCTTTCTAAATACGTGAACGAAAATAAAAGAGTAGAAGAATAAGAAGAATTTGGGAGTCCTAGGCCTAACCCAAATTGAATACATCAAAAAAAGAAAAACCAAAAGAAGCAACAATAATGGACCTTTTAACTTTAGGTGGTAAAGACTCATAAGAATCATAATAAATTGCACCCATATATCCCAATTCTAGATGGGCCATAAAATGAGCAGCCCGATTTCCTTCCCAAAGAATATGTCCGAAATCCACCTTCACGTATTTGGAAAGTAGACGAAGCTTAGAAGCCAAGTCTTTCCATCTTCCTGTGCAGCTCACATTCTCCAGCATCGAGATAGTATTAGCAGAGTCGAATCCACTTGAAAGTCAACAAAACCCAGAAAAGAAGCTTTCGTGGTCGCACGATACAGGGCTTTAACCCCAACCTCAAGAGCTGATTCAGCTGAGATGGAGAAACAAAGAGCAAAGACCAGGTGCCCATTCACAATAACAAATACATGATTATTCATGTTTTTATTTACAAAAGTATTTCCAATTAATGGTAATTATCTTGTTTCCGTTGTTGAGCATTGTGTAGATCGGACCGAATCGTACCGGTCGATCTTTTTGGAGTAGTCTGACCAAACCCTAACCTTTTGATTCCTTTGTTGACCGTCTGATCACTGTTTAATTATCTCCATCATAGAGGCTTGCATAATAAAGAAATTAGTTGAACTAGTTTTGCAATATATATTACAAGTATAAAAAATAATAATTTTTAGAAGTTAAACATTATTCTACATATAGAAAAACATCGTGTTGGGTCATACATATGATCTAAATCTAGAAAGAATCAAACCTAGTAATAAAAGATGGTGTAAATAATGATATTCCAATTAAAATTTTTTATTATAGGAAAATTAAGACGGTCTCTAAACTTTTTTTGTTGAAAGAGGTCTATCTCTAAACTTAGAAAATGAATAAGTAACTCCTATCCACATTTATCATTTATGCTCCATCCAAACATGATGAAAAGAACCCATGTTGTATCTACACAACAAGTATTGGACCTTATACTCAACCGGTTTGCACTTTTGTGAAAAGTTTCTTGTTGAAAATGGAGTCCAGAAAAAAACACAAGTAACTCAATTAATACGCGTATGACTCTAATACCGATTGAAAGTCCCTTCTAATCCAACAATTAGATATAAACAAGAATATAGAAGAAATTAAGCTTTGATTTAAATACCAAGAATAATATGGGCGTTTGAACGTACATGGTATGAGCATCAACGGCTCTCCCTTCTCTCTAAAATGTTTGAACACAACTTAGCCAAAGTTACTGATCGACTTAATCAGTCTGGGATATATACACATATACTTTTGATATCCCATAACAATACAGAAGATACTGAGCTGACACTTAGGAAAGTGACCCTACATAATGCCTTATAACTAAATTAAAACACAAATACAATGATAACATCTACTAGGCGTGTTCCCCAAGTATTTCTAGGACACATGTAGCCTTCTAATTAGCGTAGTTTCTTTGGGCCTATGACTCTGACATTGTGCTTTGCCTATAACTAGCAACTTTCCTCTTTAGGAAATGGACCAATTTTTTTTGTAATGTTACTTTGGCATTTTACTACACAACTTTAATATCTCTCAAATTTTTCTCTCACCTCTCTTTAGAATTACTACTCCGAGTTCCATAACCCATCACATCCAATGCAACAAGCATGGATCTACCAATTGAAGTTAAAATGAAGTGATTGCTCCTTGAACCGTAGATGACATATATCAAAAGTATTGTTCAATGTAATAGAATTTTAAAAGTAAAACTTTTATTCTTAATTTCACCAACTTGCCGAGCCAAAAGTCGATTACGGTGGTCACAAACGGCGGTGGAAAGATATTACACCAGTTGAGAAAATTTGAAATAACAACGAAGGGAATGGATGCATTTGCCTTCGTTCTTATATGCATTTGCAATATGGAAGAGGGTGACGATGACTCCCACCAAGGCGACAAAAAAGGGCTAGCAAGAAAACCTTTTAGTTAAAACTTATGATTTATGTACTCCCTCCGTCTTGAAAAGTTTTGTCAAATTGACCTTTCTTGATCAATGACAACCAACTTTGAATACAAAAGTTATTTTTTTTGAAAGAAACACAACTATTTATTCTTAATAAAAATGACCAGTACTAAAGTAACCCCGATAGCCTAAAGCTACAATGGGATGAGACATAGAACTGAATAGTTCCAAAGGAACATAACAATTCGCTAACCCCTCAAACATGTAGATTCCTCTATCAACATTGAAGCTCATGCTATTTAACCAATAATCAATATTAGAAAAAGTAGTACTCGACAGAAAATAAACATATAAATCGGTTTCACCTTCCACCGAAAAGGAAATAATACAAAATCTGGTTTGTCCTTTGTCCAGCCATCGGAAAGAAACAACTAGAGTCCTCAGTTTGACCAGCTACAAAGAAGAAATTGAAAATATCATCGGTTTGACCAGCCACCGAAAAGAAGATCCAATTGAATGTTGTCTTTCTCTCATAGCACGACGGTGGTTCAAGAGAAGGGCGAATAATTGATGTCTTAGAGTCGCCGATGTCTGATGTTAACCTCCCACACAAAATCAAGCAGGATAAGCATTGTCATCAACCAACAATAACATTTCAACGCCCGATCGGTTTTACCGACGAGGAATACACAAACCCTAGACATTGCTAGGAAGAAACCAGATAAAATAACTTGAAAATACTTGTGAAAAGATAATTTTTCATCTTTAGAAAGAGAAAATTGATTGAGAAGAAGAGAAAAGAGGGAAGACGACTAGGGTTTACCTTTGCCGCTCCCCAAAATCCAAAGTTATTTTGAATGTGAAAATTATATCAAAATGTTCCTTATTCAAATATTTTCATAAAAGTACAAAATTTATAAATTACATACAAATATAATAATTAAAATGTCCAAAGTTTACCATCATTGACCAAGGGAAAAAAAGATGACGAACCTTTTGAGCACAGTGGTAGTATTATTTTTGAAATAAAAAGTTAATTGGACACAATTGAAACCCCAAGTGAGGAGAACAAAGCAAAATGTCTAACAATATAATCCAAATAAATTAGAATAAAGTGAATCAACCAAGAAATTTAAACAATATCCATTTAGAAATTACTTCAAATAGGACTAAAACAATGGCAAAAACTCAAAACAGGACTTGATATGTTTTTATTCCGAAATAGGACCATATGAGTCCTATTTGGAAACATACCTATTTTTACCTTCCATTCTTACCCTTTCATTAAATATGAGTTAAAAAAAGTCAAAAGCCATAATTAAATGTTTAATTCATAATAAATTCCCAAAAAATTCAAAAATTTAATAGATTCATAATTAAATGTTTAATTCATAATAAATTCCAAAAAATTCAAAAATTCATAATTAAATGTTTAATTCATAATAAATTCCAAAAAAATTCAAAAATTCATAATTAAATGTTTAATTCATAATAAATTCCAAAAAATTCAAAAATAATTAAAAAATTTACAAAATATTTATAAAATAAAAAATTCAAACAAAAATTTAATAGATTTTTTAAAAAAAATAATAAAAAATAGTAAAACTCCATAAAAAAAATTAAAAAAAATATGGATGCCTTTCCCACCGCCTGTACTACCTCCCTGCACCACCACCTCCGGCTAGTGAAAAAATGTCATTTTTCCTAAAAACTACCATTTTTTATGAAAATGCCAAAAAAGTGACATATTTCTCTTTGCGAATGCCAACATTTTCATTGTTTTCTGCCATAAATATGACATTCGTAATGAACTTGGCATTTTTCTCCTGGTGACTGGAGGTGGTGGTGCAGAGGCGGCGGTGAATTTTATTTTAATTTTTTGAGTTTTTTATTTTTATTTTATTTTTTTTTGAAAAAAAATTACTATCGTATTAATTATTATTATCGAAATAGTTTTATTAGTTTGTTAGTATTTTTTACGAATTTTTTTATTTTTTATTATTTTATTATGAATTAAAACATGTCAATAACTAGAAGGGTATATTTGTCCAAGACACACATAATTAGTCCTATGAAAACATAGTTTAGTTTTTGATCCTATTTGTGCAAAGTGAGTCACTTTTAGTCCTATTTTGATAATTAACCCATATCCATTTATATGGTGCCCCACCTATCATTACCAACTTGGGAACACCACTTATTTTTTTTATTTACCATTGATAGTTTGGCTTGTAAAAAGTATTTCTCCCGTCCTTTCTTATTTAGTCAAATTTGATTTTTCAAGTCAATGATATTAAATTTTGACTGATTATATATTTATACACGATAGTATTGATAGTATGAGAAATGATACTCTCTCCGTCCCTCACAACTTTGCCAAGTTTGCTCGGCACGAGAATCAATAAAGTAAAACTGTGTGATTGAAATTTGTCTAGATGAGAGAAAATGACAAAGTTTTTGAAACAACAAAAAAGATAAGCAAAATTTTAAGTGATGGAGGAAGTATGAAAATAATATTTTTTAAAAAGTATAAATTTATTAAGTTTCAAATAAATAATGAATGAAGTTTACATCGACCGTAAAACTTTAAAATGACTAAATAAAAAAAGAGAATACAAATTATATGACTTTGTTTGGCCAAAATATTTCATTTGCCATTTCCGATTTGCCAAACGAACCCTTTGGAGGATGGGTTGACGTTGCCAAAAGGAAGCCATTTTTCTTCTATGGGCAATATCTTCCTCCAAATCAATTTATTAGTTATGCTCAAGAAGTGCAAAATCCTTCTAATTTCTCCACCTCGCGTGCATTTTACTCAAGGCTCAAGCAATATTTTACGCAAATAGAGCAAATCTGCGTGCATCTGCACACATTTCTCGAAGTCTTGGGTGGTTCCTTTACTGCGTTCCCCCCTGCTGAATACTGGGGCTCGATTCGACTACGTGTGCTTTGAATTCATGGAAGGTTTCTCCCCAATTGTTCCTATAAGTTATAATCATGTGTGGTTGCAGATATGAACTTTTTAATGCTGTTGTTCAGAAGTTTCATATATGCTTGTAGTTGTTGTTCCAAAATTGTAATTTTGCTGTTTTTATGGTTTATCTACTCATTCACATAATTTATTTTAGGGATCAAGTTAGACGTTTCTTGCCATTGTTAGACGTTGCATAAGTTTTATGAGGGTTTATGTGCTAGTATTGCTGAATCCACTGTCAAGAGATACTTTCATATGATCATAATATCATTGGTACCAAACCAACCAAACTTGCCCAATATGACTCCGTTAGAAGTAGGGTAAGGGAGGGTCAGATGTATTCACAACGTATCTCTACCCCTTAGGAGTAGAGAGGTTCTTTCCGTGAAAACTCCTGTTAAGGAAATAATGGGATTATGGTAAAGTTTTGGGAAATGTAAAGTTTTGATTTTTTTAAAGTAGTAAATATGAATAATCATTCATATAGCAGCACTCGTCAATTAATCTAGATTATAGGGACTGTTGTTGGTGAACCAACCAAGTGAGGGGAAACAAGAAAGTCTTTGACTTGGAGTAATATTAATGACAAGTAAAGTGCATATTGTTTATGTTCGAATTGAAAATGCTCCTGCATTCTGCACGCTAAAGCGAGATTTGAGTGCCCTTGATTTATTATGCTATATCTGGAGGATTCTGTGATTCCATTTTAGCATGGATAGTCTAAAATGCTAAACAATTTATGTATTGTATACATAAAAAATTATTTCCTAAACATAATTTGTCTACTCTGTAATTCTTTCTAATAACTAACCATATCTAAAAGAGGTTAGTTACTACTGTAAAGAAGTTAAATGTAGTCTTGATATACATATCGCCAGGCAATACACACATTTCTATTTCTTAAAAATTAGAGAATGATCTGGTACGTTTCGGAAATTGTTGATGTAGACCAGTTACATGAAGTATGCGCATCGCGAAGTATTGATTTCAGTTGAATATAGGATAAACTTATATGACACCTATTTGATGTATCAGAGCAACTTAATGGTAGCTGTGGCTCAAAAATTTGGAATTCTTGTGGCACTAATTGAGAGAAGCATAACATGAGGAAATATTTTTCTTTGAATATAAATTCTTGAGTTCAAATATACTATTTGTTCTAGTTATTTGAATATTTTCCTCTAACAGTCATGGCCATCCTAAACTTATTTGTTTTGATTTTAGTGTCCGGTGATTTGAATTCTGGAGATGATAAGACCCATTCTGATAAAACCAAGAAACGAACAATCAAGACACCTACTCAAGTTGAAGCTCTTGAAAAGTTTTATGATGGTAAGCTGCTCTTACTGTTCATGCTATCTATTTGGAATATCCTACAAGCCCATACTTATTGTTTTATTAATAATAGTAAACCAACTTTTATATTTTCAGAACACAAATATCCTACAGAGACGATGAAATCACAACTCGCAGAGTCAATAGGATTGACAGAAAAGCAAGTCTCTGGATGGTTTTGTCATCGCCGGCTGAAGGATAAGAGACTGCTTAGTGGGGAGGTATTTTTGAATGGAAAACAAGAGCGTTCAAGTGGTGTTATTCAGGACCGTGGCAGTGGACTTAGACAGGATTCATGTGGCAGCACCAAGCAAGGTGATGACAGGACTTCTGATCCACGAGAAGTTGAAAGTAGAAGGTTGAATGGTGCAGAGTTTTCAACTCCAGACATAACTCATGAGTTTGGTGGTCACTCTACTAAAAATTATTATGGCATGGATGATACATCTCTAGGAAGTAACTCTTCTTTGCGAAACACACATTTCCCCATCAATGCTGAATCTTTTGATGAGGGCACTTCAAGATACCCAACAAATAATTCTCCAGCAGATCTGAAAACCGTAAGACCTAAAACTGGTCCATCAGGATATTTAAAAGTCAAGGGGCATGCTGAAAATGCTGCCATTATTGAAGTTAAAAGGCAGCTAGGGAGGCAGTATTGTGAGGATGGGCCTCCACTTGGTGTTGAATTCGAACCACTGCCACCGGGTGCTTTTGAATCGTCAATGCAGAATGATACTAATAGTAAGAGTATCTGTTAACCTATTTATATAATAGCATGTTATGTTTATTTCTGTTAACTTTATATAAATTCTTGAGTTCAAATAACCTATATATATCTCAGATTTTCTATGCTTCTCAGTTTCTCTGTAACCTATATAAATTCTCTGGTTTGGGCTATATTATATGTTGTCCATATTTATCAATCATAGCATTGCTTTCTTGTCAGAGGACCTGCATGCATGTTTCTCCGACTACTCCGTATCTTTGAGTAATAACTCAACCATTTTTCTTCAACATATGTTTCAGATAGGTTAATTTACTTTGAATCATAAGTGAAATAATAGTCAAAATCAATGTGGCATCCTCCATGTTTTCCTTGATGTCCATTTTTCCCCGTTGGAATCAAATGCGGCATTCAAGTAGTTTGAGACTTTGAGTTGGCTTGTGTGTAAAAAGAGGGTACTTGGCATTTGGAACTACCATTTAATAATAAGAAGTTGCTCGAAACTAGGTTAACTAGCATAATGATAAATGATCTTTCCTTGTCTGAAAAGATTTATGCATTAATTCATAAACTATCTATTGTTATGATTTTTTGGATTGTTGTCTGAGATACCATTTATTAATCAGGAACTACCTCTTAATTACAAGAAGTTGCTCAAAACTAGGCTAACTGGCATCATGATAAATGAATGGTTTACCCTCGATTGAAAAAAGTTATGTATTAATTCATAAAATATCTAATGTTATGATTTTCAGATTGCTTTCTGTGATGAATCACAGCTCTTCGTTTGGCCAATACACGATGTCTTTCACGTGTTGATTTACATAGAACTGAAGCACTTATTATTTCTCAACTTAAATGGTTGAAAGATCTAGATCTTGGTTTACTCATCTATTAGTTTCTCATCCTTCCAGCCTTAGTTAACTGTTAAATCTGTTTAGTATGCTTTTGGTAGGTAAGGAAACACCTATTTGATTCATAAATGCTACTTTCACATCAATGTAATTTTGATTTGATGTTGGAAGTGATAGAGGGATCTTTTGGGTTTGAATCATCAGAGCACCAATTTCTTATTTCAAAAGCATCTGCGTTTGGCTTGTCTCTATTATTTAAGTATGAATTGCTGCTTGAAATCTTTTTTATAACAGAAGATATCAAGGGCTCTTCTTTGATTCAGCAGAGTCCTACTTTAGTATTTAAAAGCTATCATTGGGTATGGGTTGCTGCTTAAATGTTTTCTTACATTTCTTACTTGTTTCTTTATGCTTATCTCAGTTATCTGTACTCATTCTGAAAGCTCATGTTACTATTTTTAATAGCATACTAGTAGGCGCTGACATGGTCAGTTTCCCAATGTAATTGTTAGGTCCTTACCATGCTGTAGAACATGTTGCTGCTCGCTCAGAGGATTTTCCAAAAGTTCATGAGCAACCTAATTCTAGCGCAGTACGTAAACCTCTTATAACTAACTTTATGATATAAAATAATGCGAACACTTGGCCTATTATGTATGATGAGACACACTCTCTTCTTAGTGTGAAGAGAGTGCTGTCAATTTCTGGAATATGGACTTTCATCTGTCCCACTATTTTTGAGACATGTGGAAGTGATACACATATTAAGAGAAGTGATATCACGTGTTTAATATTGAATTTGTAAAGTATGAATGAGTTCGGACCGCACAAATATTACCAAATATAGCATGGTAGAAACTCAACGGGACAACAGAAAAGGAAAGATGAGACAAAGATAGTGGGATGGAGGGAATAATTCTGAACAATCATTGGAACAAGTTTTTAGATTTGAAAAAGTAATTGGGACACTCCTTTTAGAATGAGGATTGTTTATATAATGAAATGAACATATGCACTTCTCTGAATATGGATTTTTTTGTCATCAATGGTGCGGTGCATATTATTCAGTGAATTGAATTTGGAAACCTTATGTAGACTATATACACAATGACAGCTACTTGCCGTGCCATCTTTGCAGATATTTACCTTTTATCTTCTATTGTATCTGCTATTTATTTTGGTGTTTGTGTATCAATATCATATTTTCATTATCATGCGCACTATCTAATTTTGCATTATCAATCCTCACCTGATGGTATGAATGGATTTGCAATCCGGGAATAGATGTGATGTGTAAGCTCTAACATGATTTTGAAGCTCTCTCACTAGTTATGCATTCTTATGTGACCTAGGTGCTCTCTGGCCACTCATCCCACTTCTGACACACTTAAGTCAGTAATCTATATGATCTTGATATGTTTTGTTCTTCTAGAGCTCAAGTTTCTAAGTAAGGTGATGAGTGGATTAGTTATTAAATATCTGATCCGTGTTTTTTTGCGTTGTGTGTATGTGTATGATCTGTTCACCAATTAAACTCAGAAGTAGCCTCAACCAAAGCTAGTGCTCCCCCTCCCCCCTCTGGTGATTGGGTGGGACGGTGGGAGTTATGGCTAGATCAATAGATTGGCATACCTAGTGATACAATGCTTGTTACTCTTTCCAGTATCATTATTGTCTTCTCTTTTTGGAAATCCTCCAATGCTTGCACATGTTTTCCATCATTTGCAATGGAGCCAAAGATTCATTATTTTTTGGCTTGAGATTATGATGGAATAAAGCAAAATGGCTCACTAAACTGTCTGCGGTTCTTTGTTATGAAGCAGCAGTCAGTCCATGCAATTTTGGACGGGATTTTCATGGGTCATCCGGAAACAGTCTCTTTGTGCTTTAGTACAGGGGTAAGACTGCGTACATCCGACCCCCCTTACCCCACCGTAGGTGGGAGCCTTTGCGGCACTGGGGTAAATGAAAATGATTCCTAGGAGAAATAACAAAAAATAGTAATAATAAGCTATGTGATGACTAATGAATCACGCTTTGCATTTCTCCAAACAGGCATATGAATACTATTCAAAGATAAGCTCTCATAACCATGACATGTCTAGTGAAAGATTTAAAAGGGCACTTGGAACTGATCAACAAGAAAAATATCATAACCAGAGGTTCAGGAAGAAGAATTTTTTGCCAGTTCCTGAATATTCTGCTTCTGCATGGGACGCACCAGTAGAAAAGGATGGGATTCCAGCAAGAGAATTGTTATTTAACAGTAGAGAAAACCATAAGCTCGTGGCTAAACATGGTGGGGAAATGAGAATGGACTTTGTATCTAACCAATGTCTTCGAAGCCCTAACAGTAGAAGAACTACTACTGACCAAACTGAGCCATGGTTAAAAAGACACCTTGAAGGAAGTCTAAAGGTATCTTCAGTGGAGCATTCGGAATTCAGGCCTTCAAGTGTATCTAATAGAGTCGGTTTCTATAATGATGTTAGGGAGAAAGGAATCTCTAAAAGCCTTAAGAAGGTACATTAATGTCTCTCTCTTGTCTTTATGCAACAAGTACCTGCCAATTTTAAATTTCTGATAATTCAGCCAGTGCTTCAACTTTCAAATTATTTTTAGGACGATTTATTCTGTGGAGACGGAAGAATGCTTGATGAAAGCTGTAATCAGGGTCAACTGAAGATACCCAGGAAATATGAAATGATGGTATGGATGTTAGGAACTTTTTCAGCAATCTTTTGCAATTACATATGCTTCTAATCAATGTTAATCTAAAATGTGCAGGATGTTAAGAGGACCAACAACCCCATGTCTAACAGCCGAGGGTTTGCAAGGAATGCACCATTGGCAGGAATGGCATTACAGACAAATTATCAAGGGAGAAGGTTTGAGCAGAAACTCACTTTTTATTTTGTTATTGTCTTCTTGAGTGTGCCTGCCTGCCTGCTAACATTATGAGCATAAACATACAATTACGTAGTACATGGAAAACACGAGGACATATTTATAAGCATAACATGCATGGCATGCATGGGATTGGTTGGCAAATGTTAGTCCTTTTAAATGCTTAGTTTAGGAAAACTGTGCGCGGTCTGGACATGTTGGCCAGCTTCTATCCTTTGTTTCAATCGTGATTGGATGTAAGATTTCTGTATGTGACGTCATCATTACAAGCACCTAAGTCTTAACTGTGTTGAGTTGGCTGGCATGAAATTTAGTGTCAATAAGCTTTAAAGTTTTAACACTTAAGTTCAAACTTTGAATATTGGGCTAAAAGTATTCGCTTCAGGGCTGCTGTTGAGATGCCGTCTAGCTCTAGCGAAGATGATGCAAGTACTGACACCAGTTCTTCTGAGGAATGAGAGACCGGCAGGCAATTGAAGAAATGTTTATCACTTTTCTTTTTGATAGAAGGCCCGTGACTTTGTACAGTTGGGCACAAAACAGTGTTGTTCATAGCACCCATAAGACTTTAGAATTGTTTACTAGAAGAGCTGTTTGTGGTTTGCCATTTTATGGTGTATTGTTCATATAACGGTAGAGCATCTTTTCTATGTACTCTGTATCATGTTAACTGTTAAGTAGAGTATGATCATGATGGTTAGCATGGTTTTCTTAAATGTACAATTGTGAGTTTTTGTGTCATGCTATTTTTGTTTTTATTTTACTTGGCTTTTCAAGCCTTCAATTTCTTCTTCATAACTCTATTTTTGTTTAGTCTGCGTACATCCGACCTCCTCTACCCCATTGAAGGTAGGGGTGGACTGGGCCAGGTCCGATCTAGGCTCCAGGTTAGGACTGAGCGGTAGGGGTGGATTGGGCCGGGCCGAACCGGCATGTGAACCGGACTGGCCTGCTACTGTGCGGGCCCGGACCCGACTAGGACCGGATGGCCGGGCCGGGTTCGGGCCCTGTTTTTCTTGAACTGGCCCGGTTCATTTTTTTTTTGTTTTTTCAATTTTTTTTTCTTTTCCTAGGGTAGGGCTGGGTGTTTTAGGGAAGTTTGAGGGGTGGGGGGTGAGGGGGGGGGGGGGGGGGGGGTTGGGGGTTAAATAGAAAGCAAAAAAAAAATTATACGTTGGACCGGCTCGGACTGGCACGACCCGATTTGGCCTGGACTCGGTATCAACTATCAACCCGTGCTGGTTCCGGGCGCAACATCTGAAAAAAAGCCCGGCTTGAATCGGGCCAGAGCTCGGCTCGGCTCGAGCCTGGTCCATGCTTACTGAGTGGGCTTCGGGCCCAAAAACATCAGCCCGGTATCGACCCAGATTTGTATCGGTATCGAGTGGGGCCTTAGTATTTTTTTTTAAATTTTGTCTTTTGGAACCCCCAAACCCCTCAAACTGCCAAGCTCCACCCACCTAGCAACCAACACAATGGGAAAAAATTAAAGAAAAAAATTGGTCCAGGACTGGACCTGGGCTAGCCGGGCTGGTCCACCAAAATAGGAGCCCGATGCCCGCCTATTTCTTCTACCGGGTCGGTTCCCAATCTGGGTCGGGTCTACATAGTGGTGGGCCGGGTCGAGCAGCGGGCTGGGTAGGCCTGTCCCAACTCTCAGTCCATCCCTAACTGAAGGAGGGAGCCTTTGTGGTACTAAGGTAATGATGATGATGAACCCCTTTTTTACCATATCTTCGGTAACTTTGTGAAAAACAACAAGCAACCAAATAATCCCAGGTCCAACTTGCTTAGTTTCAGGTCTTGGTCGATTCCTGCTATTTTTTTTTCCGCCGAGTACCATGGCTGAAACTCAAAAGATATTAAAAAATGCTGAGTCGGACCGAAACTGGAATCACCCGATTCAATCCCAAAATTCAAAACCCGGGACTGAGTACCCTATACACCCAGTCGAGTACTCGGTCTTCGCCTGGAACCGTAAGAATGGACTGGTCCGGTCCTGCACTGTACTAGGTCCAGGCGGCCCGACCTGGGACTGATACTGCTGGTACTGACTCGGGCCCGATTTTTCCGGTACGGTACCGGCCCGGTACCCGGACCGGTGGTTATAATGGGCGGGGTTCGGGCTTGATTTTTTGAGCTCGGCCCGGCCCAAGGGCTCAACAGGCTATTTTTAAATTTATTCTTAATTAAATAGGTGGGTACCGACCCAGACCCATTACTGTTTGGACCCGTACCGGAGCATGTCGGGACGGTACTGGACTCCAATTTTCCAGAACCGGTACCACCCATGCCTAAGTGTGGCCCTGGGATGGGCCGAACTGGTGGACCGGGTCCATGCCTAGTCTGGGTCCTCCCTTACATTCAAGTGTTCAACAATATAGAGGTGGCTACATAAAACCCTACCATGTTGTCAAGATCAACCTATTTACGTTTTTCCATTGTCTTCTTTCCTTTGATATTGGTGTTTTCCGAAAACATATCTCACTAACAATGGCATGATTGCATGAACAACGTGATATGTACCTTAGAGCAAACGAAACAACAAAAGTACTCAAGGGTTAGGGCAAATAAAGAGAGGCAGGAGGAGAAAAATTATACTAAGGGGGTTTAGGACTTCTCTTAAAAGAAAATGACAAAAAGAGTAGGAAATTAAAATTGTAAAATATATTTTATTTATGAGATTTTGATTAACACATTATATAAGGAATTACGGATTGTAAAAAGTGACCCTTTACAAAAATAATTAAATTGTCTCTATAAATCAAATCAAGATTTGTTTGATAACACTAAAATTGGTTGAATCGCATGTTGAAATTGATGAAATTCTTGATCGAAGTGACTGAATTGATTAATCCTATGAAAAAGTTATATTTAAAATGTATTGTATTAAAAAATAAAACAATTAGCAAAAATATCTTCTTAAACAATTTCAGCCAATTTACATCTTCTTTATGAAACATATTTTGAGCTTATCACCAATTTTTTCCCAACACATAATTTTTTATTTCACGTGCTGGATTGTTCAATAATCAAAATATTAATCAAAATAAGTAAGATTATAGTTACTTTTCTGACTGAATTGATTGAATTTACTGTAGAGGATAATTGTAGAGGATAATTCATGTAATATTTTAAATATAAGTTTTTCATAATTCATCAGATTCAGCCGCTTCAACCAAAACTTCATAAATGTCAACAAAGTTGTTGAATAATATGTTGCTAAAACGACTATCAGTCATAAAAGAAACTTCAACTGTACCACAAATTCTTTACCTAAAAGAGAAAGTGGCAAAGTTAGTGGGACAACCAAAAAAGGAAAGTTGACAAAGTTTTAAGAGGCGGAGGGAGTATGTATTTAGTCATTTTTATAGATTTTAAAAAATAAGTAGTAATTGAATAAGACTTTCAGACAATGTTGTGTGACTCGACTCGCGGAATCCTTATGTAGATACACTCGTCACATAAGTGTATCACTCTTCACTCGTCAACTACTCAATGGCTCAGTCATCGTGAAGATGGACTGGTTTCTGGACAATAGTACATTACTCATTAGTCATTAGGATTAGTTTGTTTAAATATTACGTAGTAGAAACCTAGAACGTTACAGTGGGTTTGTGAAATTGAGCCTTTATTTTTGTAATTTAGTATTTGTAACCAACCTAAGTATTAATTTTGGGCTTCAAAATTGTAATGGACTTTTACAATATTTTACAATTTAAAGTAATTGTTGGGTAGGGAGAGTCGGTACGGTATAATACCGGTATACCACGGTATTTAAAAACATTCACCGTTACCTTACCTAAATAAATCGGTACGGTATCATACCGTACCGGAAATGACGGTATACCAATATTCCGGTATTTTTCGATATTTTTTGATACGGTAAGTGCGGTATACCGATTTTTCATTATTTTTACCCACCCCTAAAAACTATCTTCAATGTGGATGCCCATATTAAAAGTGCGCAAATTATACCGTACACCCGGATGTACGGTCCTCACCGTACATCCGGGTATTTTTGAAATTAATTAGAACCTCAATGGCGAATGTTCTCTCTTCCGATCCCTTGCTGCTCGCTAGGTCTGATGATGGAGGCGTTGATCTGCTAGCTCGCTGAAGTCTAATGAAGGAAGAGCCGATCTGTTAGAAGTCCTAAAAATTCCTTCCGCTGCTACTCGCTCGCTGGGTGTTCGGATGAAGGAAATGCTGATCTGGTGAAGGAAGTACGCAACGACGTTCAACGTTGTTTCGTTGTGGTCAAGATGTTGCTTTTTGCTCTGTGCACAACCACCATCTAGTTTTCTCTTTTGCTTTTGACTTTTTCTTTGCTTTTGATTTTACTTTATTTTGTTTAGTCTTATTTTTTACTTCTTTTCGTTTGTTTATTTGTTGATTTTTTTATATATTATTCTGAGCACTTTAGAAATGAGTTTTAGCTTAAACTCAAATGAGTAAAATGCCTAAAAAATGAACATATACAAATGAGCTTTTGAATTTTTGAATACTCATTTTGTAAATTATGTATGTTCATTTAGTATCTCTGCTATGATCATTTTTAAAATGTTTTCATCAGTAATCCCACCGGAAAAGATCACCCCAACGAGCACCAGTCATCTTCTCCGAGAAGTTCGTTGTGTTTCCTCCATCTCTGGTGTTGCAGAGATTCTATAAGAAAACGTTAATGCTCTATATAGACTACATTTCACTCAGATTGACCTGACAAATCAATCCAATCCTTGTCACATCGCTCTCACGTGCCAAATGAGCATAATGTTTAAACGAAATGAGTATAGATAAATAAGGATTTGAGCACATTAGCAATTTCAAATGACATTTTGGATTTTTCGATACTCTTTTTGTAAGTGGTTCCTAATACTCAACTGAATAAGTGTGATGCTCATTGAAAGTATTTTAATAATCATAATAAGTTTGATGCACATTAAAATTTCATTAATGCTCATTTAACAGAAACTGTGATTTTTATCTCAACAGAGAAGGTTTGATGCTCATTGAAAATGTCGTTATGTCAAACTAACAAACTTTATGATTTTTATATCAATTAACATTTTGTAAGTTATGTACGCTCATTTTGTATTGATGTTATGCTCATTTTAAAATGTCATATCAATGCATATTTTAAAAGTATCATATTGCACTAAATTCACATATTGAAATTCATAAGAGTGTATGATAGATATAATTTAATAGGTTTTTATAAAAGAAAAAATAAGAAAAAGAAACAAAAATGAGAAGATATGAATTTGAGATAGTGTTACTCATTGTTAGCCTCGTAATACTCAATAAAATATGTTGGATGCTCAATAAACGTACAATATTGCTCATTTAGCGTAAGCCATGAATTTTCGCTTAAATTACAAATATGACACCGAATTTTTTTTTTGACCTGTATTAATGATTGGGCCGACTTTCTTACTTGGGCCGGGTGTACGTACACCCGGATGCACTATATACGAACGGTTAAAAGTGAAGCTGACTTGGCATTTTAAAATATGCATACCCGTAGTTTGAATTTCTGATTTCAGAAAGCCTCTCTGAGGCTATGACTCAGCAAATTATTACGGAGTTATCTTAATTCAAAATTTTATTTCAAATTTTTTTTTTTGCAGCAATACAATTTTCTATGGGAGAATGTTCCAAGTCAAAAATAGGATGAAATAAGCTCAAAAACATATACTCCGTATTTTGTACTCCGTATTTATATGTACAAAAATCGTGTCAAACAAATGGTGTTTTCATCTTGAAACACCCAATACAGTGATATGCAATTACCAATT